CTGGAATTAAGATTGCAGGAAGAAATATCAACAACCTCCGATATGCAGATGATACCACTCTGATGGCGGAAAGTGAGGAGGAACTAAAGAACCTTGTAATGAGGGTGAAAGACGAGAGTGCAAAAAACGGTCTGAAACTCAACATCAAAAAAACTAAGATCATGGCCACTGGTCCCATCACCTCCTGGGAAATAGAAGGGGGAGATATGGAGGCAGTGACAGATTTTACTTTCTTGGGCTCTATGATCACTGCAGATGGAGACAGCAGCCCCAAAATTAAAAGACGCCTGCTTCTTGGGAGGAAAGTAATGACAAACCTTGACAGCATCTTAAAAAGCAGAGACATCACCTTGCCAACAAAAGTCCACATAGTCAAAGCTATGGTTTTTCCTGTAGTGACGTATGGAAGTGAGAGCTGGACCATAAAGAAAGCTGACCGCCGAAGAATTGATGCTTTTGAACTGTGATGCTGGAGGAGGATCTTGAGAGTCCCCTGGACTGCAAGGAGAACAAACCTATCAATTTTCTTTACTGAAAACAAATTCATTTGAATTAGAAACACAATGCTTTTTTTCACTAAGGAAATGTAAAACTTCTGGAATAAATAGCAGCTCAGAGAACACAAAAGGTCCATAAACGAACGATACCATATACAGTATTTAATCTGTTCAAAGCAAATATTTTGTGTGTGGCTTTCTTGGAGGAGAACAGCCATTTACTGTTCTTTACTGAAAACAAATTCATTTGAATTGGAAACACTACAATGCTTTTTTTCCACAAAGGAAATGTAAAACTTCTGGAATAAATAGCAGCTCAGAGAACACAAAAGGTCCATTGACCATCATAACTGCCATCTGCAGTTATGACAGAGGAACATATGCAGAAAAGAAAACAGTAGTTGCGGAATCTGCAGGGCTTGCTTTGCCTTTACAATAATCATCTCTTACAACATTTCACTCACCTTATTTTCATCATTCTCCATATCCTGGATCAGATTATCCAGTTCCTGTATCCCACAAAGAAAAAGCACAGTTGAATGATACAGAAAATAAAAGTGTACCCCGTTTCCCTGAAAATAAGACCTAACCTGAAAATAAGCCCCAGTATGATTTTTCAGGATGCTCGTAATATAAGGCCTACCCCAAAAATAAGCCCTAGTTAAGTGAAAGCCTGCCTTCCACTATTATGCAGCAACCAGAAGAAGATGACATGACTGAATTTGAATAAATGTAGATTTTGCTCCTGAAGAAGTCCAAAACCGAAACGCGTCAAGCCTGAGCCTTTAGATAATAAAATCTGCATTTCCAATTTTCATACATCTTGAGACTTTTTTGGAGCAAAAATTAATATAAGACCCTGTCTTATTTTCAGGGAAACACAGTCTATATATATACGTATGCTTTGCTCCTGAAGAAGGCCAAAACTGAAACGCGTCAAGCCTGAGCCTTTAGATAATAAAATCTGCATTTCCAATTTTCATACATCTTGAGACTGTCTCCCATTTGTAGTTTTGCCACCAGTGGATGCACCACTTTCCTCTGCAGTGTTCTTTCATTACCAAATTACACTTATGACATTAATTTTATTATATAAATATATAAAATTATAGATAAAATTTTAGAAAGAACTGGCTTGGAACAGTTACAGTTCTTTTCTTACCTATACAGTTAACATTATAAATTGTTAATGAATGTGTACATAACAAGATCAAGAAGTAGTAGTTTACTTATTAATATTTATCTTGTTATGTGCACATTCATTAATAATGTATAACGTTAACTGTATAGATAAGAAAATAACTGTCCCAAGCCAGTTCTTTCTAAAATTGTATATAAAATCTCCCATTTGTCCTTTTGCCAATGAAAAAACTGTGAGAAAATGGGAACAATTCCCTCTTGAGGATTACTCAGACTGTTCTTAGTCTTGAAAAATACAGGCATGCAGAGGGAAAGCAAAGCTGGCTGTGCCTTTTCTTCCCTAAGAATTACCTCAGCAGGAATAGACTGGAACTCATCCAGGCAGTTTAGGATGACATTGTCCCCATCATTTTTATTTGCCGCACCAGATTCCTTGATGCATTTGAGGAACTGTCGGATCTCACTGTAGTTCTTCTGCTTCACCAGCTGTCTGGCCACTTCATTGTATATAGCAGCAGCATCCAGCTGGAAGTCCTAGGAGAACAAACAAAATTGCAACTGAGATTACTACATTAGGTTACTGCTACTAGCAGTGGATAAACAGTGGACTTGAAAGTCAGGAAATAAAGTATGCTGAGTTTTATTGTAGCAGAGATTGTCCCAATGAGCTAAGTGGGACTTCATCTTGAGTAAATGTGTATAAGGTCAAACAACAAGTGTGTCAAACCTGGGTAGGTTTTAACAGTTAAACGAAACATAGTGAGCCACTTTACACTGACTGTCAGCATCTCCTGGAAGTTTCACACAGAGGTTTTTCCTGGCCGTACTTGGGAAATGATAGGGATTAAATTTTTGGCCTTCAATGTGCACAGCGTGCATTCTCCCACTAAACTATCCCTAGACCAATTTATGGACAATAGTCTGCATATTAACTAAAGCCACAATCCTAAATGGAATTCAGAGTAATGTTTTTTATACTTTATCAGTTCACTACAATGCTGCTTTGACTGTGTGACCAGCCCCAACCCAGGCCTGTCACCTTTTAAAACATCTTTCCAGTAGCATATATGACACCAGCCATTAACCACACCAGATCCAGTTGCTAAAGAGTGAAAATGAGAACTTTTTATTATATGGGAACATGAGACTTGAAACAAATTTGAACTTGAGTTTTTCTTCAGCTACAACAATCAGTTAAGATAATTCATACCCACAAGTTCCTTATCTTTCTCACTTGCTTTAACATGTGCTCAATTCTCTATTCCCCATTTTCATAATAACACTTATACAGTATTTTATTTTACTTTTTCTTTTCTCTTACTGGGCTCCTCTCTTACTTCAGCCCTCTAGCCCCGTCTTCCTTCAGGCTCTGGATAGGTTAACTGCATACACCACCTAGCCAATCACATTGCTACACTGTTAACAAGCGGATTGGCCAGGGTTCCCTTCACAGCCTAGAACATACACATTTTTTCTCATTTTTCAGCCTGAACACTCTCCATAGAATAACTATTACAAAAACAATGCTGAAAAAAAAAACTCAGAAACTTCTGGGCAAGAAAAATCAAGTGTATTTGCCTTCAACAAAAGATACAGAACAGAGTGAAACAAAACCCAAAAAGATGATCCTAAAGCAGAAAACACTTTTGGGTTAATGTTTATAGGCTGTAACTTTAAACCTAGATTATCATTTGCTTCTGATTAGTAGTACCTTTCCCTTTGATCCACAATCACTATGGACAGAAACTTCTTTCTGATAATCAACCCTCTTACAGGGGCCCTCTTCAACAATTCATAAATGTCTTTATTCAAAACCTGAGGAGGGGAGAGGGCCAGCCCTACCTTCTTCTTCACAGCTTTCTTGAAAAATGACAGGTATGAAGCAGAGAGTGCCTTCCACCCATCAAGGGTCTCCATGCAAGCCAGAACATGATAAAGTCAGGGAGACTTTTATCAGACTCATTAATTTTTGTGTGAACAAAGCATCATGTGTGTGGGGGGGGGCTGGGACTGGAATATTCTCCTCTGCATATTCACTAAAAGTGCTTAAGCACCTCTGAAAGATGACTTGTGTCAAACCCCGATATGAACACAGATATAGCTAAACTCATGTTTGAATAAAGCCCATTTGGGAACACGAACCTTTAAAAGCCAATATTGCTGATATTGGTATCAGAGAGAAAAGATGTGACAGAGGCAACAGAAAAACACGCACAATTATTACACACACAAATGTAATCCAATTTTGAATAGCTCCTCAAAAGATACATAATACAGTACTAATCTGCAAGAATGCAGTAACATTTGTTAACTGCTGTTGTTATGATATTGCCTCAAGGTCTAGCAGCTTTCTAATTTTGCCATACCTGTAAAACTCTGAATGCAATGCCAAAGCCTTCTTCTATGTTTTTGCCTTCCAACATGACCTGGGAAAAATTGCAGCAGCAAAAGGAGAAGTTGATTAATGTGCAGGTGACTCACAAATAATAGCATCAACCAGGTCACAAGCAGATTTCTTCCCTCTTGACACTGAAAACTTCATGTACAGTTTATACCATGAGCATGTAACAGATTCTCTCTCAATCTCTCTCAGTCCCTTGTCCTTCAAACTTACAATCTATTACATCGAAACAGAAGGGGGGGGAGAGACCTATTTATAGACCATCTACAGTAGATTTTCCCTCAACTTATGATGGCTCACTTTATGACTTCTATTATACAGTCACTCCAGTGTTACTCAAAACCTCCAATAACATGCAAAACCCTGTTTTAGTACCTCTTTAGTAAACCTCAGTTTTACAATCTCTAAACCTCTCACATGAGAGCAAAGCAAGCAAGGCAGTGCGAAGTGTACTCTACACGATATGTGGAGGGAATAAAAATTCTGTGCCACGCTCAGCTGACTGTTGACAGAAGATGCGTGGGAGGATAACAGAGGTGGTCAGAAGGAGGTGGAACTGAGATCTGAGAGTCATCAGGAACAAGCCCCTTGTTTAAATATTGACTTCAGTGGTGAAGGGGCGATTTAAAATGCCATTAGCGAGGAACCAATTAAATCATATGAACAGTCTGCTGTGATGTTTCTGCAGATGGAGAACACAACCATACCACCTTATCCCTACCTTGTGTTCAAGGTAGAGACAAGTGACCTTCAAATGGGGCCTCCATATGTGAAACCCAATATGTGCTAGCTTGAGCAATGGCTGTACCCTGCCAAATTACTTCTGCATACAAAAAGACTTTTGGGGGGGGGAGAGAGAAAGGAAGATGTTCAATACTAATTATTCATAAATATAAGTCAAGGACTCTCTCAGTCAGTAAGTCAATCCGTACGTTGCCTCTAAAGAGGTAATGAGCCAGGAAAAATATCAAAAATTAGAGAGAAAAACATGGAAGCAGGGGCTCAGATTTTTTCTATGGGAAATTAGTTACATGCACCACAATCCTAAACATCTTTACTTTGAACCTAGTTTCACAGGGTACTGAGGGATCTATTTTCTGGTATGTGTATCTAGTCTTTCATATTTTAGTCCTACCATGATAACACAACACTAATTGAAACAATATGTTATTATGACAATGTTCATAATTCAAAATTGGTTCCATTTTTTTAAAACCCCAGCCTTTCCTTCCTATCACTGAAGTTCTGTTAAAACATTATGCCTGAAAATGACAAGGGCTTTAACTGTGGTGGATAACAGAGACACAGACATTAGCTTTGCCACCTTGTCCCCTTTCCACTCAGACATGAAATGGACCTTTATGCATTCAGCCCCAAAATCAGAAGAAGATGCTATAAAGGTTTCGCTAACATGTAAACAGCATTTCCATGATTGGGAGCTCTGCTGATCCAAGGATCCAGATTATGGGAGCACTCTAAGTAGGTTCAGTGGAATGCGCCCTCAAGCACCTTTTCAGACGTTCATCCTAAATGTGGGAAGGTCTGATTATCTTTGAGAGGAAGAGGATTTGAGTGAGGATTTGGGTGCATTCTCATGTTTCCACCATATTAGAATCTTCCCACTTGTAGGCTATGATGTGTGAATAGGGCTTTAATCTCAACTCCACCCTCTCCCCCAAGGGTGGGCCCTTGTTAAATCAGAACTAACAGTAAAAAGCAAACATGAAATGTGGTTTGTTGGAATAACTACTGTTAGTAAAGAATTTACATATTTTCATCATAGGCTATGCACAGTCCCATTCACAGCACTTCATTTTGATATTTAAAGCCATGCCATGACAAGAAACAGCATCCAGTACCTTGCAAGCCACTTCTATCTTCATTTGGGTGTTCCCAAAGAGTGTGGGCACAGTCGAGACAGGCACAGAGGAGGCCCCTGCTTTTTCACATCGATGGAGGAATTTTGTTACTTCCATCTGAAGCTCAACTGTATTGATATGCCTAATTTAAGGAAAATACGCTTCATTAACCAATAGAGGAGATTTGTTTTTACAGTGCCTGTGAAAAATTATTTAGGTATGGAAATGATTTCATAGATTACCTGGTTACAGCCAAGAGATGCTGAATGTTCAGTATTTTTATTAGGAGAATGCTTGTCTTTTTTGTTTTCATAACTAGAATAAGTATATTCGATCACTTTGTGGGCATAAATAAATTAGAATTTAAAAAGGGGGGGGAGGAAGAGGGGGAAGCAGCAGCAGCAGACGCTGGTAATTCAGTTCAAACACATGCCAAACATGGAAACATCTCTGGTAGAGAGGCTGGAAGTTTCAATCCATATTCTAATACATGCTGTTAAGTTAAAGCTCACTTGACTGAATTATAAAACAAGGCATGCTTAACATCCTGAAGCAATCTACCTTCATCTTGAAGTATACTTTATACATTGCTCAGGAAACAGTTTAACCCTGACAGGATTAATGATAAAATAGTTGCCAAGCACTGTTTTGTTGATACCTTGATACATCTGGAGCAGACATTTTCTTATGGAAAGTGCAGGCAGTCTTTTTCCTTCCTGAACTGCGTGAAACTTCCTGTAGGTAAATTTTAAGGTGATCCTTGACCTTCAAAAGCCATTTTTGTCTTTCTCCCAGTTCAGTGTAAGACTTTGCATTGTGAGTGAAAAATCTGATACAGGTCATAGCAGCACGGACTTGATCCTGGCAAAAAGACAGAATATTAAACACGATTGATACTGATTCTGATCCTTATTACGGTCAGTGACCAGCAGATATATTCAAATATTATTATTACATATATTACTAGAACACGAAAGTGCAATTACAAATATACAGCCTATTACAATATGACTACATTTTATAGATTCTCCATAGTTTCACAGGACTGAAGAGATCAGTAAATCCAATCAGTAAACTTTGTACCGCCTCCAATCTCATCATCCTAAATAGTGTAGCATATAAAGTATGTGGTGGCCAATGCACACCATTACATCTGACATTGCTTTAATTGGTGCAAGGAGGGAACAGAGACACTTCATTGCTGCCACACAAAACTCCATCACTGCTTTAGTTATATCAGATTTCTTGTCCAAGGGTAAGATCACAACATAAAATTCTCTAGACCTCCCTTCAAATTGTTGCAATATGGGCATGAGGAGGTCCTTCTGACTATCTCGACAGAAGGAGCACTTTAAGAGTACATGATCAGCACTTTCAATCTCTGCCTCATTGCAAGGGCATGCTCGATTAATGACTGGCAAACCCTGATATCTACCTTCCAGTAGTCTACACGGAAGTACATTAAACCATTAAATTTAGCTGACATAAAAGCTTTCCTAAATTTGGGGATTGTTATTTTGAATAGATAATTGGGCATTCTAAATGTAGTACTCCTAAATACACTAAATTTGTCCAGCACTGCTAAATGTTCTTGGAGCTCAACATCCCAGATCCTCTTTTTATGGCTGCCTTGGCATTAGCAGGCCCATCACTAAGAGGACATCTGGGGAAAAGCCCAACCTCAGTAATTCAGCAGATAGATGCCTCTTCCAAGTTGACTTGAAGATGCCTGCTAATATCGAAGTGTGCCAAACCTACTGAAGCAAAAATAAGTTTCAACTTGTAATAAAACGTGGGCCAAAGTATGTGCTTTGATGGAAACCAACCCTGCCTCCAATCAAAGTGTAGCATTCAACACCCACAGAGGCACCACGAAGATCCCTCTCAAAAACTTTCTCTGTACTATTTCCAAGGGCTTCAAATTAGAATATGCAAACAACTGAGCCCCATAAAGCACTTGAGCTATAATTTTAACTTCAAAGACTTGGATCACTGATGGTACATATTTTACACCTTTAGTGTAGAAGAACTTCAATAGCGCAGTACTGCACTTCTGTGCATTTGATGTTATATGGTTCAAATAAGAGGACCATGACTATGAGGAATGAAATATCATACCTCAATATTTATAACAGGATACCTGCTCTATGTTGCTTCCATTTAATGTCCATCTATGTTTATTTTGTCTTCTGATAATAACCATAACCTTTGTCTTACCATAATTAATTGAAAGTTGCTCTTTGGAGTTATACGAGGCTAGGGCTTTCAAAATTCTCCAGACAATTCCTCTCATATTAAAACAGTCTTTTTTCCAAGAACTTAATAAGATAACCATGAGATTTGTATGGCAAGAAAAAAAAACAAGAATCAAAATTAAGGCAATGCAAGATGCTAAACAGAAGGGTGGCTTTGGTCTTCCAGATTGGGTTCTGTATTATAGATCTTGTATTTTAGATTGGATAAAAGAATGGATAACTTTGGAAAATGACAGATTACTTAACTTGGAAGGACACGATTTACAATTAGGCTGGCATGCTTACCTATGGTATAAAAAAGATAAAGAGCAAAAGCACTTTAATTTACATATGATAAGAAAAGCTCTACTGGGAATGTGGAGAAAGATTATACAACAAATTTACTATAAAACACCAGCATGGGTGTCACCTATAGAGGCCTTTACACAATCTAATCTCATGACAAAAGCAAAACTTTTAAGATACCAAGATTTATTTAAAAAGGATGGTGAATTAAGGTCTAAAGAAGAGTTAGAGTCACAGAATATTTATATAGACTGGTGGTCCAGAGCACAGCTGGAATCTAGATACACAAAAGACAAGATAGAAGGTTTCTACTCAGAACAAACAATGTTTGATAAGCTCTTTTTAGGTCCAAAAGACAAAATTGTTAAGAAAATGTATAAATATTTGTTAGAAATTAAAATGCAAGATGAAACGGTTAAAGAATGTATGACTAAGTGGGCACAAAATATAGGGCATAATATTGATATTGATCAATGGTTGAAAATATGGCAAAGTAATATAAAGCTTACAAGATTGGTTAATTTTAGGGAGTATATACACAAGATGTTTTATAGGTGGCATATGACCTCAGAAAAACTGTCAAAGATGTATACAGATGTATCAAATCTGTGTTGGAAACGTGAAGCACATGTGGGAAGCTATTATCATATGTGGTAGTCATGTAGAGTAGCGAAACAGTATTGGAAAAGAGTACATGCTATGGTGCAACAAATATTGCTCTGTAAGATGTCATTAACCCCAGAATTGTTTTTATTGAGTATGATACCTGATAACATAGATAAGTCAAAGGAATAATATATAGTTACTGCAGCCAGAATTCTCTATGCCAAAAATTGGAAAAGTCCGACGGTACCGAAACAAGAAGATCTCATAGAGAAGATACGGGAAATAGCGGAAATGGACATTTTATCAGAAGTGATGAAGGACTGTCCTTTACAAAAGGCAGCAGAAAGATGGGACTTATTCTACAAGTGGATTGAATCAATAGGTAGCGCATGAATAGCATATATTGAAATGAGAACTTAAACCTGGAAGGCAGAAAAGAGTAAATCGAGTAACTTGGAATCTTGATATGGCAAGAGGTATAGAATGGACGTTAGTATGTTATTGTTTCTCCTCTTCCCTATTAACCTCAATTCCCCTTTTCCTTTTTGTCACCCCCTTGTTAAAAATTAAAATTTAATATAAAAAAAATTCTCCATAAACCCACACACAAAGTTGACATCAAGACCACATCATCCGCGTACAGCAAAATTGAGAGGAGGTGAGTACTCAGCTTGGGGGATGAAAGTCTGCTCTCAATAAATTATACACTATATCATTAATATAGAAATTAAACAATGTTGGGGCTAGAACACAGCCTTGCTTAACCCCATTAAATGATGACATCACATTAGATAAAGCTTCCACCTAATTACAAATAAGCTTAAGACTAGTATGGTTGGACAGTGTCATCAAAGCAACCAACATGAACTTGACACAACTCCGGGAGGCAGTGGAAGACAGGAGGGCCTGGCGTGATCTAGTCCATGGGGTCACGAAGAGTCGGACACGACTAAATGACTAAACAACAACAACAACAAAGTATTTTTGTACAGTCACCTCATTAGCAAAAGGAGTCTTTTGACAATATTTGTAGCCTCTAATTTTGTCCACAATTTTTCCTTGGGAATTAAATCAAATGCAGATTTGAAGTCTAAACCATACACAGAGAGCTCCCTTTAGGAGTGGAATATTTATTCACTAGATGTTGAAAAACTGATGCCTGGTCTATAGTGGCCCTGCCTGCTCTGAATCCAGCATGTTCCTCAGTGAGGATATTTCCTTCATGTAACCAGTCTTGAAGTTTTCCTAACAGATGCTACACATAAAGCTTGTTAATAGTACTTAGTAGGCTTATTGGACGGTAATTTCTTGGATCTGATTTACAGCCTTTATTAAAGATTGGTACTATTAATAGCAAGCCCCCAATCCTCTAGAATAACTGCTGAGTGGTCAATCCATGTAAAGAGTGATGCCAAAACTGGGGCCCATCAATTCATGTTATCCTGCACTAAATCAGCTGTGATGTAATTGGTGCCTGAGGCTTTGCCCTTTTTCAGCTGACAAATCAACAAGCTGATTTCCTACTCAGAAACAGGGGGCCAATCCATTAACCCAACTGGAAGTTCTTGAATTTTTACAGTGATATCTGGGTGCCATGAGTAAACACCTGCAAAGTGTAATTCTCACACCCATACCAGTATACCAGTATTAATCACAGGGTGAACCTTCAGGCCCTTTAACACAATTCTCCAAAAGTACTTAGAGGTACCTTAATTTGGTCACAACAATTAGTTGATGCCAAGATTCTTCCTGAGCTTGAAACTTCATCTTTTTAATCATGGATTTGTACTCCCTCTTCAATATAAACCATTCGGATGGATTCTTCCCAAGCCTTGTTCTTTGTACAGTCTATTTAATCAATAGATCATGTTTTTTTTCTACATTCCCTCTCAAACCATGGTCTTGAGTGTAGATTAAGTCTGTGTCCTGTAGTGCTGGAGGAGACTCTTCAGAGTCCCCTGGACTGCAAGGACGAAAAACCTATCCATTCTAATGGAAATCAAGCCTGAGTGCTCACTGGAAGGAGAGCTTTGCCCTTTTTCAGCTGACAAATCAACAAGCTGATTTCCTACTCAGAAACAGGGGGCCAATCCATTAACCCAACTGGAAGTTCTTGAATTTTTACAGTGATATCTGGGTGCCATGAGTAAACACCTGCAAAGTGTAATTCTCACACCCATACCAGTATACCAGTATTAATCACAGGGTGAACCTTCAGGCCCTTTAACACAATTCTCCAAAAGTACTTAGAGGTACCTTAATTTGGTCACAACAATTAGTTGATGCCAAGATTCTTCCTGAGCTTGAAACTTCATCTTTTTAATCATGGATTTGTACTCCCTCTTCAATATAAACCATTCGGATGGATTCTTCCCAAGCCTTGTTCTTTGTACAGTCTATTTAATCAATACATGATGTTTCTTTTTTCTACATTCCCTCTCAAACCATGGTCTTGAGTGTAGATTAAGTCTGTGTTCTGTAGTGCTGGAGGAGACTCTTCAGAGTCCCCTGGACTGCAAGGACAACAAACCTATCCATTCTAAAGAAAATTAACCCTGAGTGCTCACTGGAAGGACAGATCCTGAAGCTGAGGCTAAAATATTTTGGCCATCTCATGAGAACAGAAGACTCCCTGGAAAAGACCCTGATATTGGGAAAGTGTGAAGGCAAATGGAGAAGGGGATGACAGAGGATGAGATGGTTGGACAGTGTCGTCCAAGGTACCAACATGAATTTGATCAAATTCCGGGAGGCAGTGGAAGACAGGAGGGCCTGGTCCATGGGGTGATGAGGAGTTAGACATGACTTAACATCTAAACAACAACAACATAATTGAAGCAGATTGGTAGACAATCATCACGTTTACAATATAATCTTCTAAACCAACCTACATCTGCTTACTACATTCCTGTGATTGCTGAGGTGGAATATAAATGTCAATTAGCCACAAAACACAGAAATTAAATTTCAGAATTACAGCAGTGGCAATATATTAGAGATGGAATCTGTGTGGCTTGCACAAGCTCGTAGCTTGTTAGATATCATTACACACAGCCCTCCCTTACATTGACCCCCCCTTTTTCACTAGGAGTCGCCTTAAGAACAAATGACATATAGCCATCCAATATCAACCCTTGCTGGGACCAAGTCTCTTGAAGCAGTAAAGTGTCAAAAATCTCCATATATTCTTTATTTTGTAGGCCCAGCCAGCAATATTCCAAGAAATGATTTTAATTAAGACTTGACTGAGCTTTAGAGCACCAGACAAAGCAGAGATGCCCATTTCTCAAAAGGCTCTGGGCTGGTATGACATTGGGGATCATATGGAGCAGGTCTTTAGAATGCATTTAATTATAGAAATGGATTCATATAGGAAAAGAAAAAAGAATTTGCATGTTTAAACTTGGAAGATGCTCTATATGTGAGCATGTGATACAGATTTTCTCAAGTTTCAGAGTATCTTCAGTGCAATAGTAATAGATTGTTCCTACTTTTGATCCTGAATGAGGAAACTTTGTGAGGCCACTGAACTGCATAGCCTTCATTACTTTTCTTCGGAGTAACAAATGTCTGTCTGCAGAATGGAAAAAAAGGAGCACAGTGCTTCTCTAGCTGGTACTGCCAAGCACAATTGAAAGCAGCAGCAGCAGTGGCAGCAGAGGTCCTTGTGTCCTATACTCCCTTTCAAAAAGGGGCCTTTGATTTGAAACATTGGTCAAATTCTAATTGGGATTTGCTGGCTAAATCACACTGGTATAACACACATAGGTTGAACCATGAATGAGATCCTCTGGGGTATTCAATACCTTGCTTATTATCAACTGAATGGAAGCACAATTCAGACTTGGTTTGAGGACCTATATCTGCTGTTTTGAGGGCTGAGTTCAAAAAGTTATTGGGCAGAATGTCATCAAGGCGACAGAAGGTATTGTAATATGGAGATTAACAGATGCAATCTTGTATAGGAATCTCATCTCTGTTAAATCAAATTTAAACAATAATTTTAATAATAAATTCTGAAAAGATGGATCTGGTTTAAAGGGAAGGTGCATTTACCTTTTATAATATAATGGTGGATATCAGATAAGGTTAAAATCTCCACCTGTGCATATTTCAGCCAGATTTTCTAGTCTGTCATCTGCACACTTGTATAGGCTTGCATTTGGCAATAAATGGAGGCTAATTAGAAGCATTAGTTGTTAAGGGTACATACTGTGAAGACATATCTTCCTCTAGGTTCTGTTAGCACTACTTCTGGAAGGATAATAATCACTACACCCATGTGATTTATATGATCCTAGTGTGTAAAACTACATCAAAGGACAGATGTTTTAAGATGTTGAGTTTTACTTCTAGTGCATCTCCTACAGGAACATGATGTCCAGTTTATCAGATTTTATTAAACTGATTATTCTGCTCCATTTAATGGCTGAGTCCACACCTCAAACATTAAATAAGAAACATTTTAAGTTCATCATTGTGAAGCAAAGATATTCTTGCAAGTGGGATGGTTCCTATGAAGAGGGTCCTGAGAACACTGGTGATTACAAGAGACTGTACTGGGGAATATGCAAACAAATTAATATCTTCTGCCAAAAGCACATCTACTATGAAGTGGGTTTGCTCTTGGCAATTCATGGCAAAGAGTACATAACAATAACTGCATGCTGCCAAGTCAATTCTGACGTAAGGTGACTCTTTCCTGAGTATTTTAGGTACAGAACACTCAGAAATTGTTTGCCATTCCCTTCTTCTGGGGGCATTCTGGGACTGTGTAGTTTGCCCAAGGCCATACAGGCTGACTCTTTTGAGATGCACAAATGAGGAACTGAACTCCCAACCTAAACCACTGAGCTATCCAGCCAGCAAAGAGTATATGGGAGTACACCGATAATGCCATGTTAACTGAGAGTACCTATCAACTGAGTGGGAAAGAAATCAGACTTGGTTTGAGCTTCCTACTTCTGGAAGGATAATAATCACTACACCCATGTGATTTATATGATCCTAGTATGTAAAACTACATCAAAGGAGAGATGTTTTAAGATATTACATTTCTTTCTAATGGGCCTAATGAGTGTCTCCTTGAGGGCAGATGGAAACCCATTTATTATTGCTGTGGCCCATTCTGTTGTTTTCTGCCTGGCTGCTTTGATTAGCCAGGCTGGGCAAGGGTCAAGGGAGGAGGTGGCTCCACAGAGATCAAGCGCCTTGTCCACAGAATCAGGAGTCACAGGGTGAAAGGAGTCGAAAATCACCGGGCAAGACAGAGCGCTGGACATCTCTATTCAACTCATTGTATTTTAAAAAGGAGAGAGCTCCCGGCGGATGGCCTCCACTTTAGATTTTTAAAAGGCTGCAAACTGGTCGGGTGAGAAACTAGGGGGAGGCCTATCATCTGAACCAGTTCCGGATAGGTCGCACACTATACGGAATAACTCCGCCTGATGGTTGGATGCTTCGCTTACAGCCTTTACCTTATTCAGGTAAAGGTTAGTTGCGACCTTAACAGCTATCCAGTTATGGTCTGTTGGGTTCTTCCTCCATCTACGCTCTAGCCTTCTCCTTATTCGCTTCATCACTTGAAGCTCCTGGTTAAACCAGGGTGCTGGCTGAGCTCTACGGCGGAGAGGGTGTTTAGCCGCGATCGTGTCTATGGCCCTGGTGGCAGCAGCAGACCAGTTGTCAACCAGAGCGTCGACAGGAGCGCTAGCCAGGTCAGCCGACCATGGTATCCTCCTGGGGAGGCTCTCCGAGTTGGGAATAGGTGGCTTGGCGTTAGCCTGGCTCTGTTCCTTCCTGGAGGACCAACCCCAGAGAGTACAGCTTGGGGAGAATGTCCCAAGGTGTAGCCTACTTCCACATGTCTCTAACTAAACTAAGCCAGGGAAATTACACTGTAGGCCAGATTAGTTACATCACTGGTTCTTAACCTTGGGTTACTCAGGAGTTTTGGACTGCAACTCCCAGAAGCCTTCACCACCAGCTGTCCTGACTGGGGTTTCTGGGAGTTGCAGTTCAAAAGTATCCGAGTAACAAAGGTTAAGAACCACTGAGTTACATTACTGTGGTACATCGAAACATTATGTAACTGGCCCACAAGAAAGAGAATGCTGATTTGGTTCTGTTGGACATCAAACTGATCTCTAGAACTGAGCTGCTATTGTTTTATTTTCTTAGTCTTGATTTTTAAAAGGCTTCTAAACCCTTTTTAGAGCATTTTTGTGCAGCAGAGCTGAATTTTCAAAAAATACTCCAAAACAAAAACCACACTGCAAAACTCAAATCAAGTTAGGAAACTCCGCAAAAATTTCATAAAATCCCAACAGAAAATCACAAATACATCAGAAGACATAGATCAAATACCCACACTTACCTTCATAAACTGCTGCAATTCGTACAAAATATGGTAGTAGTTCTTCTTCTGCAAATGTTTGCAAGCTGCAGTGAGGTAGGCACCCCAGCTCTCTAGACCTAGATCAATGGTTTCCAGTAATTTCTCTAACGTGTGAAGTTTTCCACTTTTATAGGTCGGAACAAAGATTCCTTCAATAAACACATCTGGCGGACTCTCCTAAAACAGTGAGATATTAAAGCTTTTAGACTAAGGATGGGAAATCGCTTTCAGACTGAGAGCCAAATTCAATTTCAGAAAAGTTCCTGGGGGCCACATTCCGATGTGATGGAAGTGTGGGGCCAAAAAGTAGTTGCATACCTGAAGGTCTTACTTCCTTAGGAAAAGTATTTTAATGGACAAAATCCTTTTGCATAAAGTTAGGCCTGCACATCATCCTTAAGGACGACATCATCCTTAATAGTTTTCTATTCCACCTCACCCATTCACCCATATTCTGAGGTTCCCTCAAGATCCCTTTTGATTTGCCGAATCCTTTGGGATCGTTTGAGGGGGGAGGTTTAATATCATGAAATTGTTGCTGAGTGTCCGAATCCATCAACGGCAACAGGGATTTTGCTTTCCCTAAAACTTTAGCCAATTGAACTGTCATTTTACTGCCACCCCCCTCTGTAGGCTGTTAAGCATGTAAAAAAAGAGAACAGAATTCATGACCAAGAGAACACACATGCCTATGTTCATGTAAGAAGATGTGCTGACATCTTACCTTATTTAACAAATGCAACAGTGCCTCTCGCATGCAATCATGCCTCATGTAAAAACTGATAATTGCTAGATGGGTGCCATAATTGTGTAAATAAAAGAGGCACTCTTGATAATAGGTATTGTGTTGAATCTTCCCTTCAGGTGTCATCTCCAGAGACAGGCTTCGTGTCCTCAGTGTAGCTTCCAGTTCCTTCAAAGTGGCAAAGTAGTCATCATCTGGCTAGGAAGGCAGAGAATTAAAACAATTAATTGATTGGATCAAATACTTCCTGACCTCTGGCCATGGACACTGTTTCTGGAGAAACTGGGAAGAGGCACATTTCACTGCTTCCTCTTTGCAGGCCTTGGAAAAACTCCTCTGTAGAAACAGGGGACCCTTCAAAACATTGTGAGAGGTACTGCAAGGGCTGCAGAAGGAAATCGGTGAAAGCCTCTTTTCTTCCCCACCCATCAGCAGAAGGTTCCACTGGACCTGTTTCTTCTCCGAAGAAAAGACAGATTAGGAATGAGCAATGTAGTGAGGACATATGGTCGCCTGCAGCTTCTGGCCAGGCTGTTGGCACTACATGATGAGAAACACTGCAAACAGGCCTGCAGGCCTACAGGTCCCAGCTTAAGAAATATTCAATGATCCGCTCTGAATAAGTACGATCTTTAGCCCTTTAGTTTGGCCTGATAAAGAAAAGAATGGCCCTATATTTAACCACTAGCCTAGAAGTTATGCATAGAAAGGAATTCCACATAAGCGAGTGAGGAAACTGATGGACGTCGGCGGAAGAGCTCCATATCTTTAATGTACTCAATCCAGAAACAGATTAAGCTGCAGCAGAAGAAATTCTCCTCCTCCATGGCTCTTACTAAAACACTATGAACAGCTGCAAAAAAAGCAAAGTGTGCTGTTTATATACGCCCCCATAGTGCTTAAAGCACTCCCAGGGCAGTTTAATTATAGGGGATGCACACTGTCCCCCACCCACAAGTTGGGTACTCAATTTACCAACCTCAGAAGGATAGACTGCTGAATGAACCTTGACTTGGCTTCCTGGGATTAAACCTGGGTTGTGAGCAGAGTTTGTTCTGCAATGCAGCAGCTTAACCCCTGCACCACAAGGCTCCTATAAGCAAGAAAGAGCAATCCATCTCTCCTCTGACAACTCCCAGCAGGCTAGTAAACATTTTGCTTATGTGGAATTATTTACAAAGCTGGAGAAGCATGAAACAGTATTTTACCATTAGCCGATAATGGAGAAAATGTGATCCTGTAATGAACTGATGCAGGGGTTGAGTTTACTATGACTAAAAACAGGCAGGTTTTCCATGTGGTTCGAGCCACCATACACTGCACAATGAAGATTGAATCCATCACAAGAGACCAGTTGTTGAGGAATGAGGAAGATTAAATTCTTACCACAGAGAGAATGGGTTTCACTGAGGATTCCAGATACTGTACCACATCTTGGACCAGTCTTGATCCCAGATTTAGCTGATTCAAATCAAGTGGTGGCTTCAGGCATCGGTTAAATTTTTCTCTGGCAGCAGGTAGATTACCAGCTTTAAGACAAGCCATGCCCCATGCATGCCATGCTCCAGCTGGATCCAGTCCAGTCTTTGTAGAAACCTAAAAACCGTATTACTGCATAAAGTCACCAAAGGTAGTGATAGATAACCTTAACCTTATACTGTATGGCCAATTTTGTTTTTTGAGAGACTGGGGTTGGGAATGAATATAAATCAAGATGCTACAGTCTTTTAGAAATATTATCCATTATCAAATGTACCACAAATTTATCCTTTATATCAGGAGTCACAACTTCCTCTTGTCACTGAGAAGCTGCCACTCAAGTTTTTACTTCTGCAAATATCCTGGTGATTCTGCTAGAAAAGACAGTCACTCCATAGCCCATTGTTCTCAGTAGAATCACCGAGATAATTTTGCAGTAAAAATTTGAGTGGAGTCAGGGACTCAAGAATTGTTGCATAATAGCCAGAGGGACTGGCTTGTGGCTAACCGATGCTATGTACAAACAAGAGTATAATGTTCGGCAGATCCTGATTTGGTTAAGATTAGAAAACACACACCATGGGAATGAATGGGTATCAGAATCCATCACATTAAATGGCATGACTAGATGGACAAATGACTTGGCACCAGCCTACCGTCAGTTTCTAGGACTCTAAAAAGGATTAAAATTAGACAATCCTAAAAATAGTACAGTTGTTTGCATCACAAAAAACCTGCGTTAAATTACAGTACCACAAAATGAAATTGACCCCTTCTGTACAGGACAGCTGTTGTTAAATTGGTTGGTGTACCAAAATTAAGTTTTAATATAAAAATACTGAACCCGCCTCCTATGTTATTTTTGAATGAGACTACTGCCATATAAAGTCATGTTTTAAGGAAGCCGCAAGCTATATTCCATAACTACATTTTCTCCTTGTACTTTACCTCCACAGCTAGTTGATAGTATTCTGCTTCCAAAAGTTGATTTCTTAGCCTAGTGACTGCTGCAGGTTGTAGTATCTGATCCAGAGATGGTACATGACGATATGCTGCAGCTACTAAAATATTCAAGACATCCACTTTGCTGATATAACTGATGGAGTTAAAAAAAGAGAGAAATGAGATGCACCTTGGATCTATATGACAGTGAAAAAATTCAGCACAGTCTCTCATTCAACACTCTTCTATACCCGACAGTCAAGAGCAAACTTTGCCTCCTGGGTCTGAACAATTGTCCCTAATAAGTTATATGGAATACAAGACCAAATCATATGTGTATGATGCACGTGTAGGAAGTGCACACCACCTGCAATGTATGTTTATAAGCCCCGAATCATCCTCTTAGTTTAATTCTGTGCATTTATTCCTCACTTTAAAGTACCAGCAATGGCTAGTTTTGTGGAACAACTGCACAAATTTTAAAGTTATTACTTATTCTCAGGTTAAAGGTTCCATGTTCTATATATATTTTTAGAAAATTTATATGACTGAACAAACCACTTGCAAAACCATAAGAAGCTAACACTAATTCTTCCCTCCTTTGGATCTGTCCTGGATAGTACTCCCCAAATTGGGATCTTTCACTGCTAGCAGATTTAAATATAAATCTCCTCTAATGCATGATATGACAAAGGAAGCCTGGATGCTTCCTTACAAGGAATACATTAACTCAATGCACATCCCACAAATACAAGCAAGAACATAAAATGTGGTTTGCTAGCTGTCATTTAAAGAAATAGCAGGATCAGTTTTAAACTAATAGAAATCAAGGGTGGATATATCCCATCATCACCTTGTTCATTCATCTCCACTATTGCCAGGTGGCCTTCCTATTCTTTTGAAATTAAACAATGGAAAAACACACCAACCCAAGGGCAAATCTGTTATGGATCTACACTGGCTAAAAGTGTTATACCAGTGCCAATTTAATCAAAGTAAACCACACAATCTAACATGTCATACAATACAGGCTAATTTGAGTTGTCATAATAGCCCCTCTGGGAAACTTAGTCCCTTTTCAATGCAAACAGCTATCATCATCATCATTACAACATGACAACATTACAAAAAGTTATAGTACAAAAAGGAAATTGATTGAAACTGAGTCTGGCAACAGATAAGTCACCAATGCATCATCATTAGAGTAAGTGTTGACCATTGCACTACTTTCTGCAATGGTACATCGGAATGTACCACATATTTGGCAAAAATAAATTACACAGTTGCTGATTTTAAACAAATGTGGAGGAAAATGCTTCCTACCTGTCTGATCCAGTATGCCTAGATCAGCAAGAACTGTGCATGTTTTTGAGTGGAAAGTAAAGTGGATCTAAACCCACCCTTATGTCCTCCAAATGTGTTGGGCAACAATCCGCATCATTTCCTAACCAGCATAGCCAATGGTATCACCTAGAGCAGTGGTCCCCAACCTTGGGCCTCCAGATGTTCTTGGACTACCACTCACAGAAGCCTTCGCCACCACCTTGGCTGGCCAGGATTTCTGGGAGTTGAAGTCCAAGAACAAGGTTGGAGACCACTGACCTAGAGGGCACTACATTGGGCGAGGGTGATGTAAAGGCACTATAGGAGGATTATTAGCAACTTACCTGTCACAAAGAGCTAAGTCCTGGCTCCTTCCAGCTTTTACAAACATCATTTTGGCACTGAAAAGCAACTGTTTCATGATATCCATAAGGAGACCAGCATCCACTTCGGGGTTTCTCAGGCTTCGGGACAGTTTGCAACAGTGTTCTATCAACTTGTGACCACAGGCAACACTGTCTGAGTGGAGATTGAGGATGGCAATACACAAGGATGCACTGGGAGCCTGGATATTGAGAGAGGAAAAGGTAGGCAAATGCGGTCACGACTCTGCTGAAGCAGGCTACAGTCCAGGAATTCGAACTAAGTTTGGAGGAATTAAAGTCAAGAGGCCAAACACAACAAGACAACGGGAGAACTATATATTTTTCACTATAAAACTCTAGGAGGAAGAAGTGAAGTTAGTTCTTTCCCTTCATTTCCCCCAGAATGGGCAGAAACAAATGATCAGATGGGGCCACAATGAAGCAATAAGCTAGTTATTATGAAACTTCAATACATAAATCTGGGAGTGCTGGAGGACAATTTAGTATGCCAAATGGAAAATGTTGGTTCCTTTTCCTCACATCTCTTGTATTTTTCTTTCCATGCCTTGTTTTGCCTGTCTCTCCTGCTGTGGCACAGAAGCCCTGCTTCCCAGATTAGCTAATTGGCATACCTTTTCCTCACATCTCTTGTATTTTTCTTTTCTGCCCTTTCCATGCGTTGTTTTGCCTATCTCTCCTGCTGTGGCACAGAACCCCTGCTTCCCAGATTAGCTAATTGGCATACAGTGGGGTCTTGACTTGAGAACTTAATCCATATTGGAAGGTGGTTCTCAAGTCAAAAAGTCTGTAAGTCAAGCCGTCTGTAAGTCAAGGGTCCACTGTATTTGGACCAGCCAACACCTCAGTGAGCTTGCATTCTTTGAACTGTGATGAAGACAGAAAGCCACTGGTGCCTAACGAGGTTTCCTGAATTGATGCCTGACACAGATTCAGCATGATGAAATATAGGAGAGGAAACGCTCAGACACACTCACTTACTGGTTAGCCCCGAGTCCAGCTGGACATGTCGTTTTTTTGAAGTATGTGCCATATGGATGTCTGGTCTTTTCTCCTATAGCGATTGGGCTAACAAGGCTTGGCATCCTGAAGGGTTTAGAATCCAATACATGAACTTACCTGTTCATAATAAAACTCACTGCGCACAATGTCATTCTCTTCTTCCCTCAAAGAAAGAAGCCACTCAATTTCAGCCATCTTTGGTATTCGCACCACTGCAGAGTAATCGCGATGTTCATTATCAGAGGACTCCTCTGTGATAGACAGAAAACACAGGTTAAGTAGAATTCAGGACCAACAGTCACATTGCACAATCAGCTCAGCAATTTTTAGGGAGGAAAAATCTTGAGAAAAGAATGAAAGAATCCACAGCACCATGAGCTCTCTTTTTATAAGCCAGGGAATGCTTTTGCCTTCCATTTGAAAAATAGCCCTCAGTCTTTTACTATTGGCTATGCTAAGTGGGGTGGGACGTGGTGGCGCGGCAGGCTAAACCACAGAAGCCTGTGCTGCAGGGTCAGAAGACCAAGCAGTCGTAAGATCGAATCCACGGGACGGAGTGAGCTCCCGTCGCTTGTCCCAGCTCCCGCCAACCTAGCGGTTCGAAAGCATGCAAATGCAAATAGATAAATAGGGACCACCTTGGTGGGAAGGTAACAGCGTTCCGTGTCTAAGTCGCACTGGCCATGTGACCACGGAAGATTGTCTTTGGACAAATGCTGGCTCTATGGCTCGGAAACGGGATGAGCACCACCCCCTAGAGTCGAACACGACTGGACAAAAATTGTCAAGGGGAACCTTTACCTTTACCTTTTTATGCTAAGTGGGACTGATGGATGAAGTCTCAAACATCCAGAAGGCTATAAGGTTTAGACCGTTGTTCCTCACCTTTAGTATCTGAATATATCTTGCTTATCGCAATGAGATACTGTATTTCAAGATCTTAGTTCATTATTTAACTTTGTACCTTCTCTGCTATTGTGGACTAAAAGGAACATGAATGTGAAATTCACCCTCCCCACTTCTTGCGGATTCTCCTGGATACAAATCAATTGAATTGATGCAAATCATGATTTGAATTTTAAAAAATGATTTTTAGTTTACCGTAATTTTTCGTGTATAAGACTCCCCCACATATAAGATGCCCCCATTTTTCTAACCCAAAATTAAGAAATCTAAGTGGGGCTTAGCAAAAGGAGGGGGAAAGGGATCAAAGCAATCTCACAACTGCATGATCATTTTGATCCCTTTCCCCCTTATACAGCCACGGGATTGCTTTGATTCTCCCCTCCTCCTTTTTTTAAGCCCCATGGGACTTAGCAAGCAGAGGGGAAAGCAGGGATCAAAACGATCCTGCAATACTTTGATCCCTGCTTTCCTTTTGCTAAGGTTTAGTAAGTGGAGGGGAAAGCAGGGATCAAAGCCCTGCAGGAACAATTTCATCCCTGCTTTCCCCTCCACTTGTTTTTGTACTCTCTTCAGCTTACTTCTGTGTATAAGATGACCCTCAATTTTTAGTCTACAAATTTTAGACAAAAGTATAGTCTTATACATGGAAAAATATGGTAAGTTGTCAAAAAAATCTGATTTTTAAAAAAATTAAATTGTGATTTAAATCAACAAATCTAAGTGCTGCTTGTTGCTGTTTTTACTGTGATGGTTTTGTTATGGCAAAATTATTTGGAATTAGTTTATTGTTATTTGCCTTGAAACCTTTGTAAAACTAGCTACTGTATTTTTCTGTGTACAAAATGACTTTTTCCTAAAACCATTAAAGGAAAAATTGAGGGTTTGTTTTCTACACAGAAGGAGGCGGAGGCAAAGGAGAAGCCGTGCTCAGCCACCTCTCATGGCCGCCCATTGACTGCTGCCGCCGCCATCAATTGCCTCCTCCAGTGCGACTTGCCCAGGCTCACCTCCGAAGGGAGCCCACGAGTGCCACTGAAGGAGGCGATCTGGCAGCAGCGGCAGCAGTCAATGGGCAGCAGCCACTCACAGGCTCTCTAGAGACAGGGGACAAGGTGGCAACGTGAGCTGAAGGTGAGCCCTGGCATGTTGCACTGGAGGAGATGATCGGGCGGGCGGCAGAGGCAGCAGCGGCAGAAGACAGAGGTGGAGGAGCAGCCACGCTGGGCCACCCCCTTGGCTGCCCATTGACTGCTCCTCCACCTTTGAAAAGGGACAAAATTAGGGTGTTATCTTACACATTGGGGGAGTCATATACACGGAAAAATACAGTATTTAAAAACATCAATATGATTAGCAGTCTAAGGAGTCATTCACCTATTCCTAGATAGAAGAGTCTTTGCTTTCTAAATGCACAGTGGTTTTTTAGTAAGTAGCTGGCCCCACTGAATCAGTATTTCCATCTTTCAGCAGCAACACTGGCAGCAGTACAGCTTATATTGCAATTTATTTGTTGGTCTTTTGTGGCTCCATAAGACTTTCCATAAACTTCTTCTGTACCACTCACAATCAGACACTAAGAGTTAGTTTTGGAAATTGAAGAACTGAGTCAAAATCATAAACCAACAGAACATTGATTCCTCACCTTGTTGTTGTTGTTCCCCAGTTTCTTCTTCGGAACTATTAAAAAAGAGAGAGGAAAAGAGAGATAGTTTCTGTCCATTAAATCCTATTTGGAAAATTAGAGGGTTTTGATATTGTAAAATAATTACATTTATATGATAATTTAAGGACATTATTTTGGCAAAAAATATATAAAGCAAACACAGTAAACCAGTCTATGTTTAAATCAAACTGCATAACTGAAATGAAAAGAATTTTTTCTAACTCTGTCATCACAAGCTTTTCTAAGTGAGGCCCATTTCTGGATTGAGAATGTTTTTCAGCTTTCTTTGGTTTTTATACTTTTTTAAAAAATTAAGTGTGTATACTTATTTATTTAAAATATTTTAACCTGACTCTCTCCTTAGAAAAGGACCCAAGGTGCCTTAGAGCAGTGGCTCCCAACCTTTTTAATCCCGAAGACCAGTTGGGAAAGGCGGGGCACCCCCGCATTCGTGTGCATGTACGAAGGAACCGGTGCGCTCTTGCGGGGCACGCTCATGCTCACGCCCATTTGCGAAGGAGCAGGCGCTCACTCGCACAGGGCATGCAGGTGCTCATGCACATGTGTGAAGGGGTAGGGACCACTTGTGTAGGTGCAGGCGCAAAGGGGCTGTGCAGGGGTGGGAGTGTGTGCAGGGGTGGGGGGAGGTCTGTCTCCGCGGCCCGGTCCAGCTCAGGCCACAAACTGGCACTGGGCCGTGGACCGGGGATTGGGGACCTCTGCCTTACAGCATTTAAAGACAATATTTAAGAACAAAGCAATGAGTATACAAAGGTGGTGTACATCATTAAAAGGCTACACTTAAAGGTCAAAACACTTCAGTATAAAAATATTTAAAAGGAACTGTTAGTTTATCAGTGATGTTTAAACGTTATTTATAGATTGATTTAACTCTGTTAATCACATTCAGTTCTTCTGAGGAAAGATGGAGCACAATGTTTTCAATAGATATATAGATGTCAATTAAGAGGATTCTATTTTAATGATCAGTAATCTAAAAACAAAAAACAAAAAACCAAGTACATTTAGCATGGTGAGATAAGAGAACAATCTCCATTACTTAACTGCATTCCCAAATCTGCTGCTGAGGATCAGAGCTGATCCGACAAAAATAACAGAAGGGAAAACAAGAAAAGGCTAGCTCTCATGTAAATCAGTAACTAGTGTAAGAAGCTTTTGAAACAAGCAAAGCTCTTCATAGATAAAACTAAGTAATATTTCCAACAGGAAACACCACCTAATCAGGACAAAGACAACAAAAGTAAATTAAGCTAGCAGCTAAGAAATAAATATGGTTAGGGTGATATCCACCATATTTCATCTTATATTTATAATACTATAAGCAAGTGCACACAGAGGCTTTCTTACAGTCTCAAAAGACTAGGATTGTCATTTATATTATAACCAAGAAACTGAATGCGTCATTGTTCTTTCAGCATGGCCACATTTTAAAAGGTTCTTGCTGTGGAATAGCATAAGCATGAGGCATACTGAATGAAAACAAGCAGTGGTTATTTACAAACTAAGATGTTACAAAGATCAAAAGAAAATAGTTACCACCTACGGACTCCATATCCCCAAAGGACCCCATAACGAATAACTAAACTATCTGAACTATTCACACACTGATATCTAAGAGCTCTATCCAGATTTGTAAAGATGGAGAAAGACTGTTTACATACACTTCTGTATCATGGGGCAATAAAGTTGAAGATTCCTTGTTGCAATAAGCATAGCACTGGTCACACACACGAGTGGGATTTTCCCAACAAGCTTCTACCACCATTTTCTTGGTAGAACAGGAATTGCACACCAACCTCCCACAACGTCTGCAGTGATGCCGTCTATTAAACTGAGATACAAAGAAGAAAGTAGTTGGCAGTTAAGCATTTATTGAATTCAAGAAACCTGCACTTTCTATCTTTGGGACAGAGTGACAGAGTTAAATGAGAAAAGTACTGTCAGCTCCCCAAAGCTAAATAGCTGTGGTATCTATTCAAGGGGTGTCTGCTCAAAGTATGGTCTTAGTTTACCCTTACCATAGTGAAACGTTCAGTTTTGCAAACCATGCATGTGTCTTCAGCTTCATCTGGAATCCAGTCCTGTTTTGGCGGGGGCTTCTCTGGGGGCATAAACTCCTGTGGAGAGAAGGTTTGCTGTATGCTTTTCTCTCCTGGGCTAGAACAACGTGTGGTTTCTTCATGCAAAAAAGAAGACAAACGAAAACCAACCAATGGAGAATTGAATCACCCTGCAGTTACCAAACAGTGTACACGGTGCTATTATATCAATGCTGTCACAGAAACAAGATAATGCGTTTCAACACTTGCAACTAGGCCTTCCCTCCAGGCATTCTATCCCCAAATATGAGTCTTCCAATGCCATCAGGAGACAGTGCTGTGCAGTAAAGCTCCATTTGCATGTGGAGTTGTGGGTATAAAAACAACTAGTACGGCTTTCAATCAGTTCAAGGAACCAGGAGGGAAGATAGAAGTACTAAATGGCTTTTTTGATAACTAAAATACAGCAACAGAGAGGGGATGTTAATTTTCTTCAACAGATAGTTCTGTTAAAGAACCCAAAGAAGAGCCCAGTTACTCCCCAGAAGAGGCAGAGACATGTCATGGTCAACAAGGGGAGCAGGAACTCCACTATTTCAATCTAACAAAAGAATAGGCATTGTATGAAAGCAATGAGAAGGCAACAATAATCAGCACTCTGCACTTAGAAAAGGGTTTCATGAAGTGGGGGGAGGGCTGACTGTTTTAAGGGGCCTCCACAAAGACAGTAGACCAAAGAATAATGGCTAAGTCACCTAGCAACATCTCCAGTACTACTGAATGCTCATAGTGCATGCCAATAATGCATGCTAGTTTCAATTTCTAGTGTAGGCAGGTCTAAAAGGGGGAGTTTTTTTCCCAGTAAGAGGTTTATGGCTAGCAAACTGCTGGCACTATATAATAAATACACCATGGAATTCTCTTCATATCCATATTCCACCAACCATCCATAGAAAATAAGTCGAGTCCTTACATATCAGTTTTTGGGCTTCAAGGACTACCTGGTTCATCTTTTAAATGTATCTACCGGTCCCGTCCCCAACCTTTTCCCAACTGCAGTCTGGGGGGGGCACGCTCGCGGGGGGTGCTTGTGTGCATGCACGCGGCACTCACAGGGGCAGAGCACACTCACACGCATGCGTGCACTCGCGGGGCAGTGGTCCCCAACCTTTTCCCAACTGCAGTCTGGGGGGGGCACGCTCGCGGGGGGTGCTTGTGTGCATGCACGCGGCACTCACAGGGGCAGAGCACACTCACACGCATGCGTGCGGCACACTCGCGGGGGGGCAGGAGATTTGTGTCCATGGCCTGGTCCTGCTAAACCCTCGAACCACTGCCGGATCGGTGGTGGACCAGTGGTTGGGGATCTCTGATCTACACCACAACCAATGGGTTTTCCAAATAAAACACTATCTTTGTGATTCCATTTCTGTTGGTAATCCATAAGCAAAAAAAAAAATCTAGACTGTTTTTATTAAATTACACAGTAAGACTGTGGTATCCATGGGGGAATGGTCCCCCCCCCCAGATGCTGAAAACACAGATGAATCAAGTGCAATACACTGCATGAGCTCTGGCTTCCTCTAGTGGCCAATTCTGGTAAATACACTCTGGAAATGCACATGAATAGGTACAGTGGTGCCTCGCTAGACGATTGCCTCGCGGAACGAAAAACCCGCAAGACGATTGGTTTTTGCGATCACTATGGTGCCTCACAAGACTTTTTTTCTATGACTGTGCTTCGCAAGACTTTTTCTTTAGACCGATGCTTCACAAGCCTTTTTTTTAGACCAATGCATAGGGAACCTCGCAAGACAATTTTTTCACAAGATGACGATTTTCGCAAAACGAATTAAAATCGTCTTGCGCAGCACCACTGTATTTCTGTTGGCGGGGTTATTTAGTATTTTAAACCAGCGGATAAGAGGATCAGTGGATACTGATGTCTCAGACAGAGAGGGTCCTACTGTATATTAGGGAAAAGAAGCAGAAGCAGGGAAGATTAGGAAAAGAAGATTAATGGGAAATACAGGTATTTGAACAGAGTCTTCACAGTACTATATGCCAGTTTTTCTCTTACCAGGAAAGCTAACTGGAAACTGTTCCGTTGATTCTGACTTGGACAAGTCAGACTCAGATCCCCGATACAGGCATTCTGGAATCTGAATCACAGAATCTAAGAAAGAAAGAAATTAAGCTATTGGTCAATCATTGTTATTTGCAAATAAAAAAATTTTTACACAACAGTAGTTTACAAAAATATTTGTTCAAAATTGAATTAGCTCGTGTGAAGCAATACATTACAAGTTTTAGACAGATTTAGCCACAAATGGTTTATAAGCTCATCAACCTGCATAGACGAAGTTCAGATTTTACATCCAGGGAATAGAACAACATATATAAGAATTCATGCAGCCGTTTTCGCACCCTGCCCTCGCTTAGCGAAGGCGCGAAAATGGCTGCCGGCACCTGGAATCCTCACTGAACGGGTAAGTAACGAAGGTATTGGAACGCATTAAACGAAGTTTAATGCGTTCCAATACCTTTCCCCTATCCGTTTAGCGATGATTCCGTATAGCGAGGGTTAATCCGGAACGGATTAACCTCGCTATACGGGGCACCACTGTATAAGAATTCACATATATACTGTCTTTAATATTCTTTTTCCTAAAATCTTTTGAAAATTTTCTCTTTTTAAAAAATATATCAAATGATGAATTTCAAAAACCATACTTGGGGAGAAAACAACCTTTTGTTTCTTTTCTCTTGAATGCAGACCCCACTATACCTAACAGTAAAAATAGTAATAGTAATATTTCTGCTGAAAGCAATACTATTACCCCAGTAGCAATAGAGCCACAGCACCACTCCTTGCGAACATAAAATAAGTTACTAAAAGTGGAGGGAAGTGGCAAGCAATGGGAAAGCACAGAGATTTTTCAGTGAAATACTAGTCCAGATTCCATAAAGAGCAACAGGCGCAATGGGTAAACTACAGTACTGTAAGCAAGCCTCTGTTCATGATCTGAGTTCGATCCCAACAGGTTCAGGTAGCTGGACCAAAGTTGACTCAGTCTTTTATCCTTCTGAGGTTGGTAAAATGAGTACCTACCTCATGGGGGGGAACTGTTGTTTGCATACCTATGTCATAACCTGCCCACAGAGTGCTCTAGCTCTAAGGAACAATATTCAAGTCAAAACAATAACAATAAGAACTGATAGTAGGAAAAAATGTTTCAGTGGCAGGAGCAACCTGCACTGACAATTTCTCCTTCATGCTGAAAATCTGTTACCCAGTCAAAAAAACATAAAAAACAAATCTGTTGATTACAGAATTCCCAGATGTAATCACCTGATCTCTTCTCTTTTAGTGAGAAAGGAAAGTCAAGGGCTTTCCCAGCATACTCGGAGAGCAAAGCATCAATGTCTTCTACAGCAAAGCCTATCTCTTGCCCAGTTAAGAGCTGGTGCAGGGTCTGTACAGCCACAGCTGCCCAGTCCACTTTCATATTCATCAAGAGTTGCTCCAGCATGAGCAGTGGCCTGCAGGACAGATGGGAGTAGTTTGCACGGTAAGGCTCAGGAAGAGTAAGTAACACCTTGGAAATAGAAGACAAAGAGAGAGAGAGGGAGAGAGAAAGATATATTCACAGCTATCTGAGAGAAATGTCTGAAATCATATAGTTAAGAACTGCAGTTTTGTGATTCATTCTTCAGAAAGAAGATCGTGCCTACCTTTGATCCCATGAAAAGAGCCTGAATTTCATTATGGCGCATTACAGTTAAATGCTTATAAAAGTATGTTGTGAGATAATCTGCAAGGAAATGAGAAGCTGCCAAGCTGGGGTGTTGATCAAGACACTTTTCACATATGACAAGTTGAATGTCTGGATCTTCTATCCTCTGTAGGAGCTACAAAGAAAGCCGACACAATATTTCATTTGGATTAAAATTAATTTACACTGCTGGCTGAAGCCATTTTGTCAGGATCCTTCCAGCCCCACAAGATATACACACTTTGAAGTGCCACACTTCGAAGATAATTGGGGGCTACTGCTTTCATCTATCTCCTCCCCATGCCATGGTGACACCTGGAACTGCTGCTTCACCTTGCAACTGCATGGCAAAGCTATTCCTGAATAATTAAATGTTAAAGGGATCATTATTCTGGTCTGATAAAGAAAAAACAAAAATGTAACATAGAACTGTCAGGTTAGAGAATCTAACATGTAAGACTTCCCTAGAGTCCTACAAGACTTAGTAGACCTGTAAGTGAAAAAACAGAAGTCTGTATTTGTGAAGATTCTCAGTCATCCAGGTGAGGTTATCTGGAAGTAGAGTCATGATGACTGGACTTCTCCCTTATTAAGTTATTAAGTGTTAACTTAATAAAAAAGAAGTCCAGTTGCCATGACACAACTTCCAGAGAAGCTTGTGTTCTTCACAGCTGGCATTATTCCAATAAAGGGGTTGGTTGATTGGTTGGCTACAGTCAATGTCCAGGAAGATAAAAATACATTATTTATATAAAATCATATAATATCAGCCAATAAAGGGTTAATTCCAGAATGAACCAGAATGAAATTCTAACCCTACCTAACTGTTTTAAATTCTCTTTCTGGATATATCTTTTAAATTATTTTCTCCAACAAGACTGACAGATTTTCCAAAAATCTGATTTTTCCTTTTTTTTAAAATTTACATTCTCAAAACTGAGTAAATTATTTCTTACAAAATCTACATTTATAAGGTTAAGTATAATATATCAGAGATAAACTAGAACAAATTTGTCTAAGATGAAATATTTCAGGATTCTTTACATCAATGATTCTCAATTAATTTAAATTAACAGAATTACTAAAATACACAAGGAGAGCCAAATCATTCTGGCATGTGATTCAGGTAATATGATGAATGCCTCTCCTTCTTCCTCACAGTTAAAATGAAATTATCATAAATCAAATAACAAATTAACTACTTTTTCTTGATATCCTTGATTGGCTACTTGACACAGCTTCCTCACTCTGCCTAGCAGTATAGTTACTGTGTGGTGTAATGTCACTTTAAGATGAACAGCTTGCTAAGAGAGGTGAAAGCTGATGTTCAATACATGTGCAGTGTGCGAGATTTGGGAATACTGTTTTAAAGCAAACAAGCACACTAAACAGAAGGGACATATATTTTTGCACCCATGGCTCTAGTTCCCAAAAGTAATGAGACCCATGATTCACATGTGTTCATCCATCAAGGCCATTATGAAGATTGGAACCCATTTTCCACCAGGTGTAGAGGATTCCATGAGTAACAGTCTACACCTGTGATACATGCCAAGGAACATAAGAAAAGCTTTGTGATGCAACATACTGTGGTTATGCAACCTAATTGTCTCAACATGATTCTGAAGACATATATATCAAAAGAACAAAATGGTCTACCTGCAATGCTTTTTCCATATCTCCCATCTCCAACAAATGAAGAAGGTGCTTTTGATGGAGGTTGATTAAATTAGCTCTGGAAACAGGATACAAGTTGCCCCATTCTTCACATAATTCATACTCCTACATCAGAGGTGGAAAATGTTTCCTTTAATTTTTTGTCATATTGAGACTGAATGTGGAAAGATCTTTTTACAAAACTGTTAAATTCATTTGTAGATTGAAGGAAGTCACTCATCAACTGGACAAGGCAAGGAAGTAACAATCCCAATTCTGGATTTCTCAGAAATACTGAGGTAGTCAGTGGATGGTGAACTTGATGGACATAAGAAATATTCTGGGCAAAAAAAATAAGAATTCCACAGGAATATGCTTTTGCAGGGGAAAAAATACTAAAAATATAGTGTCATACCTTTGCCTCTAGAATCATCTTTATAATGGCCTGGGGTTCCTCAGTACAAGCTCTTTTTAGATCCTGCCAGTCTTGCCACACTGTCACATCTTGTAGATTCAGAATCTGCCCAAATGAAAGCAAACACACAATTTTTCTTTTGTAATAATATTCTTAGAACTGCAGAGCTGGAAGGGACCCTATGAATCATTGAGTTGAGCCCCTGCCAAGGAGGCACAGTGGGGAATTGAACTCTCAACCTCTGGCTCTGCAGCCAGGTGCCTTAAGCCACTCAGCTATCCAGCATTTCTTTTTTTCCTCTTCTCTTTTCAAAGGAACAAGGCACACAACTGTAATAGTTGACTAATACATTTTCCCAAGTAGAAGTGGGCCCTTCCCAAAACAGAATAACCACCATCATCCCTTTTAAACGTCAACATCCAGCAGTTTGAAGTACAAGCAAAAGAGTTCTTGAACAAATAATATATACACTAAATCTGATTGCAGACAAGGGAAGGAAGGAAAGGAAGAGTAGAGATTAAGAAATAATTCTAGGTCACTGTCACTTATGGAAATCTCATGCCTTCTGCCATCACTGAATTTGCCAGTCAAGCAGAAGCCTAGATCAACCAACAGTCACATGAAAGTGCCTCTGAGGAATCAGCCCAATGGCAGTAATATACAGATGCCACCCTTCTTCCAATACTAATTCTCTGCAGGAATACCAGGAGACCAGCAAAGTGGGCAAATTCCTTTTGCTTAGCATAAAAAAATCAAACAAGAATAGGCCCACTGATTCAATGGGGATTTGATAAGTCAACTCCTCCATAAGTTTCATTGAATCAAATGAGCTTACTCTACTATGCTAAAGTAAGTCACAATTAGAGTAGTCCCATTTGAATCAATGGAACTTATAGAGGAATTCTCTCACCAAATCCCCATTGATGCAATGAGCATACTCGAGTCACTGTATCAAATAACAAGATTTTGACCAGTGTTTTGTTGCCTGCATCTACAATCCTCAAAGCTAATGCAGGAAGATTACATGGTCACAATCTTCTGAACAATGTTTCTTCTACAAAAGTAACATTTAGTGGGACGATAAAACAGAGAGATACACTCCAATCCAAATATTCTTAAATGTGTCTTTGCAACAGTTCTGATCACTGGCATAACAGTTTATGCAATAGTTTAGATATCCTATCTATTCTCTGTAGTTTCTAGATATTTTTTAAAATATAAAATGTGGGGAGAAAACAATGAACTATTGCCTCAGATTTTGGTGCACTTGCATATCAAAAAAGGGAGCCAAAATGCAGTATCAGCTGTGGGAAGCAGAAAAATTTAAATATTTTTCAAAATGAAGGCATCTCTAATCCAAAGGTGATTTCCACATGATGTAAAGAAGCAAAGCATGTGAGAAAAATAGTCTATCACAAAATCCAAAGGTGATTTCCACATGATGTAAAGTAAAGAAGCAAAGCATGCGAGAAAAATAGTCTATCACAAATTAACAGGAGTTGCATACCTTATGGTACACCTGCAGCTCTCTCGTTTTGCACTGCAGATCAGTTCTGAGTTCTTCAGATACCTCTGGGTCAGAAGCACAGTATGCTAGGATTTCCAGACAAGCTTCTAGGGGCCACCTATCCAGACAGCGGAGGGCCAGCCTGCTCCTCAGCATAGCATCTCTAACTGGGAACAAGTATTGCCAGCCTCTTTTATCTGGAAATAAAACATAATCAAGAGACATTAAGTCTAAATTCAGTATATTCTAGCTGAGAAAGCTTAATGCTCAGACACGATAGCATGCACAGCAAAGGATGATGTCAAAGATACAATTAGGAACAATACAGAAGTGATATACCAAAGAGCATACCAACAATACAGTCAGGAACAAAATAGGAAAGCTTCCTTGTACAGAGTCCAACCGCTGGCCATAGAGTACAGTAGGGCTTACACCAACTTGCAGTGTCTTCTGAGGGTTTCAGACAGAAGTCTTTTCCAGTTGCACCTGGACATGCTGGATCTGCATAAGCTCTACTACTACTGAATTGCAGCGTTTCAGGGTTTCAGACAGAAGTCTTTTCCAGTTGTACCTGGACATGCTGGATCTGAACTTTGGGTCTTATGCATGCGAAGCATAAGCTCTACTACTGAACTGCAGCGTTTTCTTTGCTAATGCCCTCTCCTTCTTTTAAACTATTTAAAACCAAAATAAAGATTACATTTGAAGAAATGCTTGTTTCATTCCCAAAAGGCTTATTTCTGTTTTTCCATTTCTATTTGACCTCCCACTCACAGTAAGCCCACCTCCCAGCCATGTATGCCAGCATATCTATTAGAGGAGACTGCAGAAGCTCAAGTGTCACATTCAGTGACCAACAATGGTTTGATCATTGTTTGTAAACAGCTCAACGCATTTCCTATTCTTTTTCAAGAAAGTGGAAATGATGGCAGAGAATTTCAGGAACAAAAGCCTCACAAGACGAAATTAATCCATTCCAGGGTTAATGTCGTCTTGCGATATTTTTGTCGTGCAAGCTGTGGTTTCCCATAGGAATGCATTGAAATTTAATGCGTTCCTATGGGAATTTTTTTTAAAAGTCACGTACTAGTTAGGGAGCTGGGGAAGCACCATCAGACGACTGGCAGGGGGCCCCCTTGCCTGGATTGCCGCCTTAGGAGGTCCCCCGCAGCTTTCCTTGCACCATCAGAAGACTGTCGGGAGTCCCTCCAAAAGGGGGAAAAAAGAAAGCCTTTTTTTCCATTCTGAGCCTTACTGAAGGCAGGGGGAAAGGGCACACTCTTCAAAAATGGTGCTGGACAAGCCTCTGTAAACGCCACTAGGAGGGACCCAGGCGCTTCCCTTGCACCATTGGAAGACCAGCGGGGGGTCCCTCACTTCCCTTGCACCATCGGAAGACTGGCGGGAGTCCCTCCGAGCTGGCGAGCGGCACTTGCAGAGGCTTGTCCAGTACCATTTTTGAAGAGCGCGCCCTTTCGCCCTGCCTTTGGGTAATGCTCCGAATGGAAAAAGGTTTTTTTTTTCCTTTTTCCGTTTGGAGGCTTGCTGAAGGCAGGGGAAAGGGGCACGATCTTCAAAAATGGTGTGGGCTAGCCTCTGCAAGGGCATTCGTCATGCGAAAAATGGCCATAGGAAGAATTGTCTTGCGAGGCACCAAAAACCTCGCAGGACCCTTTCGTCTAGCGGTTTTTTCATCCGTACTCAGCTTCCATCTCATTCTCCCAAGTGTCACATATGAGGAAAAACAATTTTGGTTTGGATACTTGGTTTTTACCATCAGCGGCAGCACAACTCAGCACAGCATCCCGCACGGTGATTAGCTCTTCCATATCCTGGCTATAGAGATCCAAGATCTTCAGGGCTCTGGACCAGTCTCTTGCCATTAATGCTTGCTCAAAGGTCTCTGTTAACACTTCAGCTGCCTTGTAAGAATGCAATCCCAAGAAAATCAAAGAGATACAAGAATTTCCACAAAGTCCACTGGCCGAATTTTTGCCCTCATCCTGCGAGTCCAGCAGGGGTTCACACATGGTCAGCAAAAAGTTCTCCAAGAATGGAAATTCCTTCAAGAGTGCATCACATTCCTTGGAAATTTGCTCCATAGACAAGGGCACTTCCCGCTTGCCTCGAAACTCCATCCATGAAAGGCTCTGTTTGGGAGTTCGTTGTACTTTTGACACATCTCTTGACACATTCAAAAATGCCACAACAGCTGTAAGTTTTGACTGACACTTCAAGAAACTGAGGGTGGATGCTGTGAGCATGTGCTGGTTCTGGCTAGGCAGAGTAGATGAGGGGTCGCTGGACATATCCTCTGAGTCCATGGCTGGATTATGGACTGGCACCTCAACATCAGGCAGGCAATGATATGCATGCAAGTGTGCTAGACTGCTAATATTGGTCAAAAGGGACCTAGCCTGGCTGCTTTGTCTGGTCCTGCACAAAGGCAATGCCTTACAGCAACAGTTAATTATAACTTGCTGAACATTTAAATTCAGTTCTTCTTTGGTAAGCAGCAAAGACAATCTGTAGGAATGAAAACCACAACACATAACATATTTGCACTTGTATTACAAACCGCATCACATAGAATTATAGAATAATTGAGTTGGATGGGTTCTATAATGCCACTGAGACCAATTCCCTGCTCATTGCAGGAATACCCAGCGAAAATGCTAGCTCCTTCATGAACATACTTGTTTGTCACACATACTTGTGTGTATGCAAAATTCATAACTGAAATTGTTTAGTTATACCCTGAAAATAAAAACATAGCTTGTGAAAAAGCCCTGTAATGGTCCTCATCTATTTTATATGTAGATTGTGAAGACAACTCTTGAGTACAACACTTGCTTCTCCAATATAGAGAAAGCAAGAGAGGAGCAATAGCTGTGCACCCTGTACCGTGATAACTGTAACTAAACTAGAATCTCTGTGAAATACATATAGGAATCTTACCATACATTGCCTTAACCTATCTAGTACATTCAAAAGCAATTTAGGCAATTTCTGTTATAATTCATTAGATTCCACAAATCATAATAATAAAGAGTCTACAAAATATTTAGGTGTTAAGGTATCCAGCACTAATCTCCAAAGAATCCGGATTTACTCCTCAAATTTCCATTACATACAGTATTCGGAGATGCTCAAGATACTTGGTTTGTTCAAAGCACTTGATCACCCAATAAGAAGCTTCCTCTCTTAGTTGAAAAAGAGATTTACATAAACTACATCAAAGCATCTTTCCAATACTGCCACCATTGTTACAAAACAGTAATGAAATTTTCCTGACTACAATATACTGTACTTGTTAAGCACTTTACGTGCAATCAGGACCAAAAACTAATAAAACAGACGATCAGACGTCCAAATAAGTCCGCCCCCCCCCATCAGCACAGCATCCACGTCCAAAAGTCACTTACTTGTCAGGAGCAACTTGTTTTTCAAACAAAAGTTGAGACATCAAATGGGAGGGACTCTGCTGTAATAGTATGAAAGGGTTTCCCACTTGTACCTCAGCAGATTGATCTAAAAGACAAGATATTGTGGAAAAGAAACAGCATAATGTTGGGACTTGGCCTGTGAAATACACCTTCCAAAGCTCATGCCATGTTGCAATGCTGTCAAATTTGCTATTATCTTCTTTAATTACTCTAGTTTCTGCAACACAAGCCCAATGCATGGAGTACATGTACAACTTCAGTAAAAAGCGACCAAGCAATTCTTCAGCTGTATGTGCTGAGGGAAAATGTTATCCACAAATATGTGCAACATGAATTAGCTTATTTCAATTGTTCATTTAAACATCAGGATTTTTTTCCTAAGACTTTTTTGTTTTCCTTCACGATAAAAATGATCAGCTCTTTAATTAAAATTTGGACGGGATTTTTTCAAAGTATGCAATCTCTCACCTAGTTCTGGAGTGATGCTTCGGATGACAACAGCAGCCAACCTGTTAATATAATCAAAGAATTTTTGTACATATGGAATCTGCGTCTGGCTCTCTTCCATGGTCTCAGCATGTTGATCCAAAGTTTTCAACAGAAGTTTGATTTGATTATATACTGGGTGTGCCTCTAAATCTGCAGGTTTCAAAGAAGCCTGTTCCACCAAAGTGGCAAGTAAGTTCCCTTTTGAATCTGTGTTTTAAAAGACAAGAGATTAAATGGTCCATTAAATTAGCATGAGAAGAAAAACCTTTTTTACTGCCTCAATTATAATAATAATAATCTTGGAACTGCACAGCTGGAAGGGACCCTATGGATCATCGAGTTTAACCCCTGTCAGAGGCACAAGTGGGGAATCGAACTCCCATCCTCTGGCAGAAGAATCTTTATACCCACATGTGCAGTAATATTACTGTATGTGGGAAAGCTTTGCAGCACTTTTCTCCATCATTTTGTATCAGATTATGAGGTAAATATTTACTGATAATGACTGGGTCACTTTAAAAAGGCCAATGTTTAATACATTTTATGAAGAAACAGTAAAATTATTTAATCTGAGAATTATATTTATGTCAAAAAGGAAATGCTAAAACCATTTTCTTTCAGACCTAACTTACAAGTGACCTGATGTTTGGGTTTAAACTTAAAAATTGAGAGACATACAATCCAAAATTTTTAAATCCCATGATTGACTAATTAGGTAGCCTATTAAAACGCACACATACACACCTGAAGAATCTTCTACATGTGCCAGTTTTTCCAGGATTTGGTCAAAGTGCTGTGATAAAACAACCTGATTAGTAATACAATCCTCAGTCAGGGCAGGGTAACAGGTCTGCAGCAGATCAGCAATACTGCAGTGGAAGTGACTGCTTATTTTCTCATCTGAGATTTCTGTTAGGGAACAGACAAAACAGCCATTGATAGGAAACCGCTGTGTAATCTGAAGTATAAAACACGTATGTAAAAGTACACATAGGGAACCAAGAGTCATGATAAGGACTTCATAGTCCTGGCAAGGCCTAAGTGAAATAAAAGGGCCATTTTGAGGGCACGGAAGGCAGCAGAGTAGACTTCTATCCGTATTCTCTGAAGTGGACTGCCAGCAACATCTCTCAATAGGCACCGCTTTGGCATCCCTGAAGTGGGAGCTGCAAGAACGGCTGATATTCTCTAGGGCAGTGGTCCCCAACCTTTTCTGAACTGCAGACCGGTTGGGGGGGTTGGGGCACCCCCTTGTGCTCACAGGTGGGTGGGTGGGGCTCGTGCATGCATGGATAGGCAGGGTGCACACTCACAGATGTGTGGGTGGGTGGGGCGTGCTCGTGGGTGGGCTGGGCACGCTTATGTGGGCAGGCAGGGCACCCGTGTGTGTAGGTGGGCAGGCCGTGCGTGCAGCGGGTGAGAGCATGCTGAGGGTGGGAGATATCTCTCTGCAGACTGGTCCTGCCAGGGCCACAGACTAGCACCAGGCTGCGGACCAAAGTGAAATAAAAGGGCCATTTTGAGGGCACGGAAGGCAGCAGAGTAGACTTCTATCCGTATTCTCTGAAGTGGACTGCCAGCAACATCTCTGAATAGGCACCACTTTGGCATCCCTGAAGTGGGAGCTGCAAGAACGGCTGATATTCTCTAGGGCAGTGGTCCCCAACCTTTTCTGAACTGCAGACCGGTTGGGGGGGTTGGGGCACCCCCTTGTGCTCACAGGTGGGTGGGTGGGGCTCGTGCATGCGTGGATAGGCAGGATGCACACTCACAGATGTGTGGGTGGGTGGGGCATGTTCGTGGGTGGGCTGGGCACGCTTAGGTGGGCAGGCAGGGCACCCGTGTGTGTAGGTGGGCAGGCCATGCGTGCAGCGGGTGAGAGCATGCGGAGGGTGGGAGATATCTCTCTGCAGACCGGTCCTACAAAGGCCACGGACCAGCACCAGGCTGCGGACTGGGGGTTGTGGGCCCCTGCTCTAGGGAACAAAATCTATGGCTCCAAGCTCACTACTTAGAATAAAAGCTTCCTTGTGATTTTGCTTCACCTGATAGTTTCCACATTTTATGCTTTGCAAAACAATCACTGACATGCAGGATTCTTAATGTATATCTAATAGATATACAAGCCAATAATATGTAGGGGACTAGGAATTTTAACAGCCAGTTTAACAAAATATTTTTATTTATTTACTTTTGATTTGGGGCTCAACATAAGCATCTAAATAAACAAATACTCTGCTTTCTAGTGGCCTGGCCACTAGATGGGTGGACTAAAAATTTAAATCACGGTGGCTGGCTAATCATCATAATACAAAAACACAGCCATAATAACAATTAGGAGGAATAAAGACAGAGACTGCTTGAAATGTCCTCTTTTGAAAATGTGTAGGGGGTAAACAGTACAATAAGCCACAGAGCAAAATACAGTGGTGCCCCGCATAGCGAGATTAATCCGTTCCGGATTAACCGTCGCTATGGCGAAACATCGCTGTACGGATCGGAAAATGCCATAGGAACGCATTAAACTTCATTTAATGCGTTCCAATGGCTTCTAAACTTACCGTTCAGCGAAGTTTCTCCATAGTGCGAATATGTAGGGGACTAGGAATTTTAACAGCCAGTTTAACAAAATATTTTTATTTATTTACTTTTGATTTGGGGCTCAACATAAGCATCTAAATAAACAAATACTCTGCTTTCTAGTGGCCTGGCCACTAGATGGCTGGACTAAAAATTTAAATCACGGTGGCTGCCTAATCATCATAATACAAAAACAAAGCCATAATAACAATTAGGAGGAATAAAGACAGAGACTGCTTGAAATGTCATCTTTTGAAAATGTGCAGGGGATAAACAGTAAAATAAGCCACAAAATAATTCAGCAAAACTGATTGGTGAAAACAAGAAGAGAAGGTCATAGGCTGAAGCCTTCATCATTTCACACAACAATCAAGAGATGGTCAAATAAGTCCTTCTCCCAAGACAGTTTTTTAGGCTATGTGTAACTATGGAGAATGGCTTTTTGAGGTGTGAATGAAACTAATATGAACAAACCAATGATACGAAGCAAGAGAATTACCTGATTTAGGTTGTCCTTGTGGTATATTGATAATTTTACTTATTTGTTGAAGAACTGCTGGGAAACCCTTCAAACCCTCAGGGCACTGGAGAACAGAATCAAGTCTTCTACCTGGTATCCGATTCAAAAGGCAAAATGAGCAGAAAAATAGGAGAATGTAATAACGATAATGATAATGATATGTTGACACAATGGCACGTAAACTCTGTGATAGTCACAACTGTTTTAATTTAAAAGGTAATACAAATGAACAGAGAAAGAAAACTTACCCTTCATTTCCAGGCTAGTATTCAACCTTCTTTCTGCAGTTTCTAAGAGGTGTTTGCCAGTTTTCCACAAGTGACACTGAGTAGATGCCAAATCAAATATGGCCATAGCAGAGGGGCAGAGGCCCTCCAGGACATCCCTTAGGGGATCACTGTGCTCCAGCTGGACACTGCTAGTCCAGAAGTTCTCCTGGAGCATAGGGACTGAGCATTCGGAAGGAGCAAGCAGCTTATCAGTAACATCCGAAATGGAGTAAAACACCATTCCTTTGGAAATGAAGAGAGAAAGCTGAAAAATGATTTGGTCTTGCAAATAACACCTAGCATAGATGCTCAATCCCAAAGAAGTCAGACCTTCATTTCTGGTTTTTCTAACAGTTTATAATGAATCTACACGTGTGCCATATCAAAGCAAAAAACAGTCTACCAACCATGGCTTACAGTCTAATAAGCACCTCCTACATCCAATCAATGCATGGAATTCCCAAGACAAAGCAAAATTACACAGTGCAGAAATCTGGTGTTGTTCCCTGGGCCTGTCATGCAGTGTATTTTCAGTTTGGTGGAACACATAAAAGCATGTTTTATACATGGTTAAATTTTAATTCCCTTAAACTCTCACTCATCACAGTTATCACTACGTACAGCCCTTTTTATGCTTTAAGTTAAATTTTAATTCCCTTAAACTCTCACTAATCACAGCCCTTTTTATGCTTAAAATCATGGGTGTCCAACCTTTCACCTTCCCTGGGCCACATTAGATGATGAAAATTTGGTTTGGTCTGCACATACATTTGGTTTGGGCCACATGGGGGGGGGCAGCCCTAGCCGTCCTCCACAGCCTCGCTCCAAGCACGCTTACCGGCAGCTGTGATCTCAGACAGCAGAGGCTGCCAGCTTCGACTCCGGCAGCTTTATGGGGCCGGGAGGGGGTCCACCTATTGAAGGGGACGGCACAATGCAGTCACGCAGCCTCCCTGTCCCCTCCCCTCCCCTCCCACTCCTTCCTTCCTTCCCTCTCTCTCCCTCTACTGTTGTGACGTGCCCCAGCCACATTCCGGCCGCAAGCGCCGGCAGTGTATCTTGAAACTTTGGAATTTCTTTTAAAATAAAAAATTGCACTGGGCCGCATTATGAACTGACCTGGGCCGCATGCAGCCCTTGGGCCGCGGGTTGGACAAACCTGCTTTAAATCCTACGGCCCTCGGGTTGGACAAGCCTGCTTTAAATCCTTCTTCTCTCTATTAATTTCTATCTTTTAATTAATGCCAGATTCTTACCTGCTGCTGCCGCATTCCCAATAGCCTGCAGTGTTGAACAGCCACTGCCAGATTGCTTGAGATTTCCAGATCCCTCAGATGACTGATGCTCAATCTTATCTTCCACTTTTGCCAGTTCTCTGGTCACTTCTTGATAGCGTTCTAAGAAAATCAGCTCACCACAGGAAGCAGAATTCTCCAAACCAAACATGGCAGCAACCTGACACAATGGAATTAAGGAGCCCCATATATTTACTTAGAAGAAGCATTGTAAAAACATTCAAATGTGTTCTTGTAGAGCAGGAAGTTGAGATGGTCAATTTTATTGAAAAGATGGAATAATTCTGACAGAGGCACATATCTACAGATAACTTCCTCCAAGAAAGAGTAGTGAGCCAAAGATTTCTTCTGGGTTTATCGGACCCCTTACAGTGTTTTCATTTAAAATCTATGTGGAAGACAATCACAACACTTCCAATATTTGTGTCTCTTAAGTATATAAATTACTTAACTCTTAAATTAAGCAATAATCTGGAATATTTGGAGAATGACCCCTGGCTTTTCTAACGATCAGCAGAAAAATAAACAAATAAATAAATGATGTGTGCAAGACAGCTATCATCGACATGGAACTGAATAGGCTGGGGATGGACATTGTTGCCCTGCAAGAGACGAGATTGCGAGACTCGGGATCAGTCAAAGAAAAAAAATTCTCATTCTTCTGGCAGGGAAAACCATTGAATGAGACCAGGGAATATGGTGATACAAGAGATTGTATCACACGAAAAAGGAAGATCGCATATTGACATCAGCAAGACTCGCGATCAGAGAAAAGTGGAGGATGTTTTCGCGAAGGCTTTCACGGCCGGGATCTAATGGTTGTTGTGGGTTTTTCGGGCTCTTTGGCCGTGTTCTGAAGGTTGTTCTTCCTAATATTTCGCCAGTCTCTGTGGCCGGCATCTTCAGAGGACAGATGGAGTGGCCATGGGGAGCCCCCTCAGCCCGGTTGTAGCAAACGTCTGCATGGAGCATTTTGAGGGACTTGCCCTGGCTTCGGCACCGCTCACACCCACAGTCTGGTTCCGATATGTGGATGACAACTTTGCAATTTGGAGCCACAGTGAAGAAAAACTGGAAGAATTTCTCAACCATCTCAACAGCATCCACCCAAATATACAATTCACCATGGAAAAAGAAACAGAGGGCCAGTTCCCATTCTTAGATGTCATGGTCCTACGCAAAACTGACCTCCGACTGGGACACAAGGTCTACAGAAAACCCACCCACACAGACCAGTAAATACACAAAAACTCCAATCACCACCCACAGCAAAAAAAGAGGCAAAACACTGGTAGACCATGCAAATCGGAACTGTGAAGCTCAGTTTCTCAGCACTGAACTCAACCATCTGAATTGGGCCCTACAGGCAAATGGCTACTCCAAAAATAAAATCACAAGAGCCATCAAACCAAGAAAACAACATGGAACTGAAGAAGAAAAACAGCCACCCACAAACAAAGTATTTCTGCCATACATCAAAGGGGTCACAGACCGCATGGGGAAACTTCTGGAAAAATACAACCTAAAAACAGTATTCAAGCCCACCACAAAAATACAACAAATGTTACGATCAGCAAAGGACAGAAGGGACCCCCTCACCACTGCAGGAGTATACCGGATACCTTGCAGTTGTGGCCAGGTATACATTGGAA